TGCATTTCATTTGTTTTGCAGAGACTCGGGAGGACCGCACTAAGAGACTGTTCAGACACTACACTGTGGGATCCTACGACAACTTCACCTCATACAGGTACAGCCTCTTTCTCTGAGGTATCCTGCCACTGCAATGTGCAGGCTGTGTGTATTAGTGCATACTGTACTGCACAAACAATGTAGGTCACATTACGTTACCTTAAGAGGGGTGATGAAGTGCATGTAAAAAGCAGTTTGAGTGCTTTGGAGCTGCTGCCATCTAAAGACATCATGCAGCCACTGCACCCAGTTCTAACAGTAGAACTCATTTGTATTTCTATTGCATAGCTGTTTCAGACTAGGTTTTGTCTGTACGTTTTTGTATTTGTGCACTGTGAACACACAGGCATAATATTATATGCTCTACATGCATGTGTATTGGAACATGCACGTTTTTTTTAATCTTTATTTTTCTGCCAGGATTCGTATTCAGTTCTGTCCCTGTCTCAAACTGAAATGTATTGTGAGTGCTCCTGCTCCTGTAAATCGAATTTTTTAGCTGAGAGTGGTGAAGCAAGTGATGTGCGTTTTTTTTGTGATGCAAATTTTCACTTAAATGACATGGTTTGTCAGTCTAAGAGTGACAGAGCTACTCTGAGCAAGCATTGTTTCCATCCACTTTCTCGGGTTTTATTAAATGTCAAATTCTTGCTTTCCATGTTTTAGACAGATTAAATGTCACTTTATTCACCAGAGCTCCAGGTTTTGTACAGCCCTTGATTGTCATAGATAGGTATGTTAGATTTAGACCTGAAAATTAAATACATTTCTTGTCGCCTTCCAGAAGTGCAGCAGAATAAATGCCAACACATTTAATCATAGCAGGATAGAGCTCTGGGATTTTAAGGGCCAGATGTAACATGAATGTCTGAGAAAATATAATTTGCACATGCCAGCATGAAACCCATATAGAACAGTGAGTGAGTCACATACTATAATGTCCGAGGCTGTATCTGAACTGCAGTCTGAGATATATCAGAATCACAAATGTCAAAGGACACATTTATTTTCAGGGGGAAATGTTACATCATAGTTTCTCTTTATTGAGTTATGGAGGTGGATAGAGATTCTGAACAAGGACAGTGAGCGTATTGCATTAATCTGGCATTAGAGCATAGATGAGAGTCTAGTGGATAAAAGGGTTTGGACGGAAACAAAGCATCTTACTGACGCTTAACCAACACAGTTTCTCTGTGCATAACAATTTGTGCAGAAGTGGATAGATAGCTTTTTATGAAAACACACTTTTGACCTCCCTCCTGCAGAAAGGTTTGTTACGGGTCTCACGGCTCCAGCAGCAGGAGCTTTGTTTTCCCCTGGTAAGTCTGACAGAGTGGTGTGTAACTGAGCTAATGGAGACTGCAGCCACCCACTGAGTTGCAACATGAACACTTGCCCTCCACACCTGCATTTGCCATAAAAAGGGATGACGTTTAAAAGTGAAAATCACGAATTACAAGAAAACTCTTGTGATGGTGTTCAGGCTGTAAACTGGCAGCAGTCTTCTCAGTGCAAGTTTGTTGTGAAGACACAAGTAACATAACTATCACACACACATTTTAAAGTGATGGGTTATAGTCATCTACACTTGAAGGTTGAGATATTCAGGTCACCCTAATGATATTATATTTTGCTTTGAAAATGAAAACCGGCTTTAACCTTTTTCACATGCATTTTACTTTAGCCCTTCCCTCAATTTAACCCTTTATTCATCATAAATATAGATTCAATCTCCAAGCATAGATTGTATATAAAGATGAATGACACTATCCAGAAATGAAGCCAAAATATACCAATGCTGCCATCTTGCACAGAGTCACTGTCTGCGCAGTACCGATCAGGGGATGGTGCAGCAGTAACCAGGTCTTATGATGTGCTCAACCAATTGTCTTAGCTGCCAATCATGACATTTGACACAATTTTTATAGCAGTTTTTTTTCTTGTTACTTTTTACATGTAATAAGACCTTTAAATTTGGTACATGTCCAATCCACTAACATGAAGGAGGTGGTGATAATGACCTGTTTTGCAGCCAGCCACCAGGTGGCGATCAAAATGCTTTGGCTTTACTTTTAGGGAGCCCTCTGTCTTTATATACAGTCCATGATTGTAATATCTTAACACAAATATCTGTTGGTTGAAGGACATGTGGTCTTAATGAAGTTCGCACACACAACCAGCCATCATGTTATTTTGAACGCTTTACTAACTCTGCTTTGGTTTTGGCTCCCAACTTTGAATTCACAGCAGCACAGGTTAACATCATCTAACAGCCTTCACCTCTCAACACTCAAAATCAGGCAGTGGTGTCACTTACTTTTGCCTCTGCTTTCCTTTATTAGTCAGGGAATAATATTGCACAGAAGCCATCTCTGTCAGTTTCTTTAGCAGGAGCCCTTAACACCCCCCTCAGCTGCAGTCTCATCTGAAGGATCAGTCTGAGGATTGATTCACTCTTCTTCAATCACAAGGACTCTCTCTTTCGCCTGCTCTTACTCTTGTTTTCTGTTTCTATACCTCTCTGACTCTTTCTCACAATAACCTCTGGGAATCCTGAGCTGTGGTGTCTTGGCTTGGCTTTTAACTTGATTGGTTAACAGGAAAGGTGTGTGCGTGTGTGTTTGTGTGCCTCCATCTTCTCTCACTTCTCAACCCCCACCGACTGACCCTCTTTAGTCTCCTGCTTTACCTCTCGCCCCTCACTCTCAGAGTGTGTTTGTGAGGATGGTGTTGGATTCATACCTGGTCTCCCTCTTTTCTCTCCTTCACAGTGACTATATCATAGAGGAGAAGAATGCTGTTTTGCAGAAAAAAGAAAATGAAGGATTTGGCTTTGTCTTGCGAGGAGCCAAAGGTGAGCTAAACACACACATACATTAACACACCTCGAAACAGTCACACACACAGTATACCGTATATCTACCTGTTTCCAACATTTGTCTGAGTTTTGAACAAAGAAATTGTTTGTTGATCTGACTCACTGACTGTGCATCTCTTGATTGTTACTCTGTGAGTCAACAACACGACCAGCTTTGGTCAATACTTCACTTGTATGCTTAGATGCACTCAGGCTTCTCTCTCTCTTACTGTGTGTGTGCTGTGTTTGTGTGTGTGGCGTCATACTTGGCTGAGCTGTCAGCTAGCTGTCCCATCTGTTCCCAGCACATGGCGTTGAGCTTTTGTAGATACACTCCTCCTTACTCTCCTCTCATTTCATCGTTCCTCTGTCTATCTTGTTTCTGTTCCTCTCTGCTCTCCTCCACCTTCAGGACCTTCCTTTCCATTATCCTCTCAAAGTATCTTTACGCAATCACTTTCTTACCTTTGGCATTTTTCTTTTAGCAAAATCATCTCTCTACACATCTTCATCACCACAAATTAATTTTACTCATGCACGTGCCAGCTCCCCTGCTCAGGATGGTTACCATGGCAACCCCTTCTCAGGCACCTTGCCGGGAGTCTGTTACTGCTCCATCACTCACTGCCACGGATCCTGGCTCACACTGTTCTCTTTTACTCACTTTGTCTTTTACTCCCCACTAACCTTAAACACACACACACACATGCACACACACACTGCAGTGGTCCATTGAGCACTCTCATGTGTCAGTGATTTTGTTGGATTCGGTCCAGGATTAAATGGACTTTGTAGTAGCGCGTGCATGAAGTGCGATTGTGCACTGTTTGCGTGCATGTGTGTATTTTGTTGGGACATGCATGAAGTTGTGGACATGCACGCATGTTTTTCTGTGATCCTGCTTAAATCAATGATTGTTGATGAATGACTGTTCGGGTGCGGCAGGCAACAGTTGCACATCCATTACTATTCTTCCCGGTAGATACACTACACCTATATTGAGTTGAACTAAACACAACATATTAATCAATTAAATTATTTTGGTAAAGATGAAAGGAAAGTTTTGAGGAATTAAAAATTCCAAATATTCTCTGAAGCATGCAATTCATTTTCGGTTTGTGATCTTTTTTGGTCATTTAGTGAAGGAACAAAAATGACTCGGAGTAAGCAATAGATTTTAATTAACTGCTCTGGGTGGGATTTCTCTGTGTGTTTATTCTCAGCTGAGACGCCCATTGAAGAATTCACGCCAACCCCAGCATTCCCTGCCCTGCAGTACCTGGAGTCTGTGGATGTGGAGGGAGTGGCCTGGAGGGCTGGTCTGAGGACAGGAGACTTCCTCATTGAGGTAATTACGAACAGCTCTTCACTTGCTTTTTAATCTCATGGATGAAAACACTGGTAATGGCGATGAATGCAGAGGGGAAACTAACAAGTGCAGGAAGCTGCAGTCCTGTAGTGCTGCTGAAGTTGTGATGAGTTGTCCGTCCTGTGTCTGCAAAGAGGCACAGGATGTTTAATCGTGTGAAGCATCTCACCCTGACTGTCTAGACTCTGGTAACTATGGTGCTTTAATGTCAGCAGCTCTCCAGGAAACAAGGTTAGACTTGTGTCAGCATGTCTCATTCTGTGTGTTTTCTCTCAGGTAAATGGGGTAAATGTAGTGAAGGTGGGCCACAAGCAGGTGGTGTCCTTGATCCGGCAAGGGGGCAACAGGCTGCTGATGAAGGTGGTGTCTGTCACACGCAAACCCGAGTCTGAGGAAGTCATTCGTAAGAAAGGTAAAGACCAGTGAGATTGAACAAGCTCCTCTGTGTCCTCCCTTTAGAAAAGGTCAATGCTTAATTCATATTCTCCCATGTTTATTTGATTTTAAATTAAACGCATATAATATTTTCGATTTTTCATCTATTGGTTTTCCATTTAAAAAACACACCCCTATATTGTGAAATGTGACATGCTGCTTCATGTGATAGTCATCTGTTCTCTATGTGAGGACTGACTCAACCATTATCAAACTCATTCATTAGTATGAAAAATAATTAAAATAGAAAATGTTCTTGTAATTACACACTGACTTAATTAAAGTTAGACGATTGCAGTATTTCTCAGGATGTCTCAGTTATTTGCTAATGGATTTTTTAATTGTATCAGTGGAGGCAAGTTATTTATGTATAGATTTATAATAAAATGTGTGTTTCAATTTTGAAGTTTATTTTTGCCATGTTTCTCTGCTGTAAATTCATGTGGTTTCCATGTCAACCACGTCTCACTATAACTTAGCTCCCACACAGTCCTGGCACTATGACCTCAGGATTGTGTGCATGTGCGTGCTTGCGTGCGTGAGAGAGAGATTTCTGTGCTACAAAGACTGATAAATGGGTTTGACCTAGTTTTAGAGGGACACCACTGTATCAACTCAATCTTTAGGCCCTTATGGTCTCTCTTAATCTCTCTTTCTCCATCTTTATCTCATTCTTCTCCACCTGTCTGTCTGTCCCTCAACTCTGTTGTCTTATTATCGTCTGATGACTGATACCAGTACATACAATACACTAAAACATTTTTTGCCTTGACCTGCAGTTCACATTCATCATCCTTTTACCCTGAAATTGCTCAGTTGTCAGTTGAGGTAAAGTAAAAGTTTAACATTTGGATTGAACACTTGACAGAGAGTCAGAAGAGACAACTAATACTTTAATTTCTGTTCAGCCAAAAGCTGGTTAGCTTAGCACAGAGACGTCAAACAGGGAAACAGCTAGCATGGCTCATCTCTGGTAGACTAATTAAAGATGTTATATATGTGTTATTTAAAAACAGAAATATAAAAATGCAACCACACATTGTTTATGGTGGTTATGTGCCAGACATTTCTTGGCTCTGACTAGTTGCCAGGCAACCAGCAGACTCCAAGTCTCTAGTTGCTGGTTCCTACCCAGAAATTGTTTGCCACATAAGCTTAAAAATCTAAACATGATCAAAAATCCAGTGAACAGTATTTCAGCATACAGAAAGGTCTAGTTGATGAGAGAGATCAGAGGAGAACTGTCATACCGGCAGGAGCTGACAGAGAGGCTAAAGTAACTCAGATAACCACCTTCTACAACTGTGCTGAGCTGGAAAGCATCTCAGAAACACGTAGAACTGAAAACTGGAGAAATGTAGCCTAGTCTCATGAATCTGGATTTCTGTGGAGGCACACAGATGGTCAGGACAGAAATTGGCGTCAACAGCATGAATCTATGGACCCACCCTGCCTTGTGTCAACAGTCCAGGCTGGTGGTGGTGTAAGGATGTAGGGAAAGTTTTTGTTTTCTTAGTTTGTATTGCGTATTGTTGCTGACCATGTGTATACATTTATTGATACAAAGATGCAAAATTGTATTATCTTGTTAAGGCTACTTCCAACATGATAATGCAGAATGTCATTGTCAAAGTCACCTCAAGCTGGTTTATGAACATGACAACGAGTTCAGTGTACTTCCGTGGCTTCCTCAGACACCAGATATGAATCTAATAGAAAATCTTTGGGATGCGGTGGAATGATAGATTTACATTGCCAATGTGCAGCTGACACATCTGTAGAATGATGTAGTGCAATCTCTAGGAAGTCCATACCATGAAGAGTTGAGGCTGTTTTCAGAGCAAAGGGAGGAACCACTATTAATATGGTGTTACTAATAAAGCGCTAAGTACATACTCAAAGTTTATCTTATCTGTATAGTTTTATCTATACAGTTAACATAATTGTCTTCAGTATATAAAGATGTTTGTACAATGTAACATCATTGTGGTATATTCTTTTAAATTATATGAAAATATGTTACTATAATTGCATTTATTTCAAGTGGCATTCCTCTAACTAGTCGTTTATGTCAGTTCCTTCTTGTCTTGTTGTCTTCCAAAGACTGATTCTACTTGTGTCTAAGAGTCCTTACACATTTGGTCTGAGGTAGAATGAGTGAGGCTGATTTAAAAGACAGCGGTTAATAAGATTCCTTTCTTCTGATGGGCAGATTCAAGTGCTGAGAAACAGCTGGAGACAAGATGGAGTGTGTTTAGTGTTTCGGAGCTGAGGGAGAAAGAGATTCTCCACTCGTGTCTCAAACTTGCTAAGCTGTGTCGAACACCCTCTCCCCTTGCACCGGTCCTCCAGTGGGACACACTCTGCATATTGTGCCGCACTTTCGCACAAATGCCCAGACACATGCTCTCACTCTCACACACACACCCTTGCGAGGAAACACACTCTCTGCACCATGTGAGACCTCACTACTGCCACCGTTGCCATGGTGACTACACTGCATGTTTGAATTAAGCATTACATTACAGCAAAAGCATCTCTCTCTCTCTCTCTCTGACTGTGTCTCTCTCTCACTCTGTCTCTCTCTCTGACTCTCTCTCTCTCTCTGACTCTGTCTCTCTCTCTCTCTCTGACTCTGTCTCTGTCTCTCTTCCTCTCTCCTTCTCCATCCTCCTCCATCTCCTCTGCTCCCTGCTACTGTACCAGACTGTGCAGATTGGTGATGAATTGAAGACGTTTGATATGGACTGTACCCGGGATGGCGTATGTACACTAGATCTGCAGCTGCTGACAACAGCAGGATAGTGGGGCTCTAGCAAGGCGCTAGGGCATCTGTGGGATTCAGAGATCTATCGTTCCACATTGGTGCATTGAGATTTAGCTGGTAGAGCTTGGTTAGAGCGAGCTGATCTAGTTTTTGTGTTGTAGGGTATCGATAAGAAAGTTAGCTTTGTTAAAGCATGCACAGACTGCTGTCGTATGTGGCTTTATGATCACTGTTCACCTGCAGACATTACATTTGTACTGCAGACTTAACATGCTCAAGTACATGACTGCATTATTTTTGATTTGGTTGACTACAGTGTTTACTGTGACCTAATTTAAACCTGTAACTGTAGTTTACACTTGCAACTAACATTTGGTGCGTAACTGCTGTGAGTGGGCTAAAATCTGCCCAGTTGCTTTGTGTGTATCGTAGGATTGGGTGGCTCCCATGAGCTTTCGGGTATAAAGTCTGCAGCAAATCATTTTCTTTAGCTGTTGAATATATAGTCATCTCTTCATCTGTCAGCCCACCTCATTATGACCTCCCTCAGGGAGTTTTTTCTGTGTATCTGCATGTGGTCCTACATGTGGGAGGATATGCATGTGTGCATAGGCTGGTGTGTTGGAGTGTTTCTGTCTAATGCACACCTGCTAAATTCTAGACAGGCAGCATATTAAAAGTAAGATGGACGACTTTTTCCTTTTCCTTGCCTCACTCATTTTTTGCACTCTGCCTTCTGCAGTGGACAAATTCAGTTCTGTGTGTGAGGGGAAGATTCAGAAAGCCAGGGATGTTACAGAGAGGACTGAGCTGTACATTTACTGCCTCTGGGCTCCTCAGCAGAGAGGAATTCTTGCAGCACAAAGACTAAAAAACTGAAAGACTTGGAGACGGACCGACAATTTTAAAGCCACTGGACCAACAGAGAACAAAACATGAAGAAGTTGAGCTCCAATCGTAGCCTGAACAAGGTCTTGACTAAGTGTGAAGCGTCCAGTTCATCTGAGTTTGATCAGATCAAAGCAGCCAAGACAGGTTGGGCCGGTCGTCTGGGGGACGCCAAGAGAGCACTGAGCCGCAAAGCCAAAGGATTTTCATCCCCCTCAACTTCATCCTCAACACCATGCCTTTTCTCCACAGCTCCCCCACCACCCAAGAGAGCTCCTAGCACCACCCTGACACTGCGCTCCAAGTCCATGACCGCTGAGCTCGAGGAACTGGGTGAGTGCCAGAGAGCTGGCATCCAAACTCTGCACTCTCCTCCTCCTTTTCTGTCACAGCTCTGCTCTCCCTTTGTAATTAGCTTGGTGTATCTCCTAACTTTTAGCATAGTCACTTCTGTTGGCTTGTTCTTGTCATTTTCCCTCCTCTGCTGACACTATCTTTTTCCCACCAAGCTTCTGCTCGGAGGAGAAGAGGAGGTGAGTCTGAGGCAAGAAATTGTCACCCCTCTGAACGTCATATTAATTCATCACTGCTGTGTCAATTTAAGCAGTGTTAATCCGAACAGAAGAGCAGAACACTTGAAACATGTGGCCTCTTTCCCCACTTTCTGTCTTTTTTTCTCTCTGCCTTTTTCATCTCGTAGCACTCTCCTAGTGGTCATCAAGGACACACAATGAGATGAATGATATGTGGTACAATACCACAGAGCATGACATCACATTGTAGTGTATAGTTAGATTTTGTAGATGCCTTTTTAATTACAGTCCATATTCATTCTTTGTGTTACCCATGTCAGAAATGACAGCACAATGTTTCTCTGGGCTATGTGTTGGTATTTAGTTCTGGCTTATTTCCTCCTCAATAGAGAGACTAGACGAGATGTTGGCATCCCAGGAGTCCATGTTACGTTCTCAGCCCTCGGAGGCAGATTACAGAGCAGCCACTGTCAAACAGCGGCCTACCAGCAGGAGAATAACACCAGCAGAAATCAGTGTGAGTGCACCTACACACAGCACACTGGCAGACTGCATATGCCATTATGCTAACATACAAACACATGACCTCAAAAGACCTGTGCCACATCACATGCAACACTGCACACATGTCTGCATGCACTCCTGAGTATTCTGTAAACAGTCTGAAGCTTTTAAATCATTAAAATTGACTTGAATGACATGGCAAATAATTTTTTGTGCTGCAGTCACTGTTTGAGAGACAGGGGATGACTCTACATGGAGGACTTCACCCAGGCATGGAGAGAGGTCACATACCACTACCAAAGGGGATGTCCAGGACCAAGTCTTTTGGTAAAACTATCACCCATCCTGTACATATTCAAATAAGGTGAATGATAGTGTATCTTATGTACAGTATGCTCATAGGTAATACTTTCACATATAGAGAATATAAGTTCATTTGCATCACTACACACACAAAAAGACAAACGTGTAGACAGCAGCACAACAGAGGTTGAAGCTGTACTCTTATCAATTACATTTAGAGTACCTATTGATAAATATAACAAATTCCCCTGACAGATGAGTAAATGTTGACAGTTGATGTAGTTACAAATATATGCTTACGCTGATATACATGTTCAGGATGTGCAAATCTGCATATTGAATATTCACAGAAACAGATTTGCAGAGCAGATGTTCAAGCACAGACTTTCAGAGTAGATACACACGTTCCTTATTAATACTCTGTATTATTAAACATTTCCTGTTTTCAAGTGCACCCATTAAATGTATGTTCAACTTGTTAAATAAGACAAAATTACAAATTACATGTTTATTTAAGTATTGTATAGCTTGGTTTGAGACACATTATATTATCATTAACTGTGATAATTAACAGATCAACAAATGGATGAATTCCAGTGTATTTTACATGAAGCTGAGGACCTGCTGGGCTTCTGAAAAATTTTACTTTTTCATGAGATTACACTCCATCACCAGATGATCTTTGCTTTAAATCTCCTTCATCAGGTGCCACTGAGGAGGATCGACTGTCTGCCCTGGCAGGCGAGCACCGATTTCCCCGTAGTTCCTCTATGACAGACAGCCTCCGAGACCACTCACAGCCCCATCCCATCCCTCCACCTCCACAGACAGCGCCTCCTCCTCCTCCTTATTACCTAGACACTGGTCCTCCCCCAGCCTTTTGCCCCCCTCCTCCCCCATCTAGGACTCAGAGTCAGGGTCATGAGCCTGGAGGACGCTCCAGCTTTAAGCCCTCCTCCTTGGACCTGCCTTACGAGGCCGCTCAGCGGCAGGCCACACACATTGAGAGACAGAAAAAAGCCCGCTCCATGATCATCCTCCAGGACTCTTCCCATCTACCCGTAGAACCTACAGAAATTCCCCGACCCTCTGCTGCTACTCCACCTGAGCGCATCAAAAGGAAGGGTCGGGTTATTGACAACCCTTATGCTAATGTTGGTCAATTTAGTATTGGACTGTACACACCTACCAAGCCCCAGAGGAAGAAAAGTCCCCTGGTGAAACAACTACAGGTATGTTGCATGTTTGGTCTGATTTCTGATTTAAAGGTGCAGTGTGTAAGATTTTGGTGAACGGGATCTATTGGCAGAAATTCAATATAAGATAATACTAGTGATGTTTCCACTAGTCTTTAATCACCTAAATTGTAAGAAACTCTTTACAATAACATCAGGAGCAGGTACTCTCTACGGAGGCTGCCATGTTTTTTATAGTAGGTCAGACTGGACAAAATAAACACCTTTTGAGTTTTTATGACAACTAAAGGCGACCATTAGTTTCTCCTTCATGTTTTGAAGGGGATGGTGAGGTGAGGGGTATTCGGCTGCAATGTGCAACTCCACCAGTAGATGTCACTAAATTCTATACACTGAACCTTTAACCTTGAGTAGTAAGGATCTTATGACCTTTACATTTCTGGTTAATATTTTTTGACTACTGCAGGTGGAAGATGCACAAGAAAAAGCTAGTTTGGCCTTAGCTGCTGCCCACTCCCGAGACAGCTCACCCTCAGGACGACACCAACATACCCATGGGCACACACACACCAGCCGTGCAGACTACTACCAGCAGCAGCTGATGGCGGAGCGAGAACGTATGCGTGTCCAAGGAGAGATGATGTTTCAGGGTAAGGGCCCCTTCGCTGCAGCAATTGCTGGAGCAGTAAAAGATCGTGAGCGCCGCCTAGAAGAACGGAGGAAATCCACAGTCTTCCTTTCTGTTGGTACTATGGAGGGGGCATCTTCCACCAGCTGTGATGCCCCCTCTCTGACTCAGTCTCACTCCATCGATGAGCGATTGCTCACCAGAGAGCTGGGTCAGCTGCCTCCCCCTGCCTTGGCCCTGAGCCCCTCACCTAGTGGGACCACTTTCATTCATCCGCTCACAGGAAAACCCCTGGACCCCAACTCACCACTGGCTCTTGCGCTGGCCGCAAGGGAGAGGGCACTGACCTCCCAAAGCCAGTCCCCAACTAGCAGCCCAGAGCCTAGGACTAAACAGGAGCGGGTAGGCCAGGGCATAATATTCATTGACACTCAGACCAAAGAGTCTCCACATGAAGGGGCACCCACATCTCCCCCTTTCTCCCCTAAAAGCACTAAGGCAGCAGGGTATGGAGTTGGATCCTCCCCAGCATCAATTTTAGTTCACCAGCCCACTAAACAACAGTGGGCCCCATCACCGTCACCTGTATCATTCCGGCAGGAGATGGAGGCCAGAGTAGAGGAGAGAAAGGAGGAGAAGAGACTAGAAGATAAAAAAAGTATGTTGATCAGTATTATGGATACATCGCAGCAGAAGACAGCAGGACTAATTATGGTTCATGCCACCAGTAATGGCCAGGCTGTTGGGGTGGGTTCAGAACTAGAACAGACCCCTGCCCCAGCCTCAATTGAGCCAAGCAAATCTCCAAGTCCACGGGCTAAATCTCCCATTCCCACAGCCTCCCAGCCTAAGGTCCTGCCTCAAACTCAGCTTCCTGCCAGTCCTGCCCAAGAGAAGAGTCTGGTTCAGGGAAGCTCCGAGGAGGATGTGGATCCGTACACAGTGACCCTTCCTCCGGTAATGTTGTCCTCAAGTGATGAGGAAACAAGAGAGGAGCTACGGAAGATTGGAGTCGTACCACCACCAGATGAGTTTGCTAATGGGCTACTGGCACGGGCAAAGGAGACTCCAGTGTCCCCAGCTAAACCTGCCACCCCTCCCACAGCCCCTGCAACACCAACATCCCAAACTCCCTCTACCCCAACAACCCCAACTGTGACCCCCACCCAGCCTCAGGCTCCCCAGCCCCCACCACCACCCAGTGCAACAGCTGTCTCAGGGAAGACCTCTGACCCTCTGGAGCCCCCACCGGTGGGCGAGTCTGGCTCTGCGGCCGACTCAGGCGTGGAGGAGGCTGACACGCGCAGCTCAAGTGACAGAGAGCGAGACCTCCATCTTGAGACCACCAGCACCGTCTCCACAGTTTCCAGCATGTCCACGTTGTCCTCAGAAAGCGGCGAGCCTGCCGACACTCACACCACGCACACCTCCTATGCCGAAGGACAGACTTTTGTGCTCGACAAGCCGCCAGTGCCTCCTAAGCCTCGACTCAAGTCCCAGTTAGGCAGTAAAGGCCCCGTCACCTTCAGGGACCCTCTGCTGAAGCAGAGCTCTGACAGCGAGCTGCTGTCACAGCAACAGGCTGCTGCCTTGGCTGCTGCTGCGGCTGGAGGAGCTGGGCTCCCCTCAGGTGGTTCCGCCTCAGTGACTGGACTAGCTCCCACCAAGCCGCGCTACCTCTTCCAGCGGAGGTCCAAGCTATGGGGGGACCCAGTGGAGCCCCGTGGGCCAGGAGTGGGGCTAGGTATTGGGAGTTTGGGCAATCTTGGTGGGCTCGGACTGGGGCTGGGTGCAGATGAGGGAGCAAAACCATCCGTTATAGGGGAGCTCAGTTCAAGACTCCAGCAGCTAAATAAAGACACTAGGTCACTAGGAGAGGAACCACTGGGCGCATCACTTGACCCAGGGAGGAAGTCACCTGTGGCAGGTGCCAGGTAAGAGAAATCTAATAAAATCTTCTGCAAAACTGTGTTTAACACTGAGTGACTGAACAAATGGTTGTGTCAACTGAAATTAATACATTACAATTAGTACCAAAAAAAGCAGTTCCAGTGCCCAACCTCAGAGACAATGGTTTTCAATTAATTTAAATTTTAATACTTGTCAGACACTGAGTTAATTTTTTTTATAACTAAATGCCTACCTTCTCAATCTTGCAATACAAGCTCATTTGATAAAATATTGCAAACACACAGGCTTTCATTTGTTGTTTAAAAACAAACAGTACACAATATAGAGTCTATTTAGTCTGAAATTTTGTATAATTTCAAGAAGAACAAGAAGCCAAGTTAAAGCCATTGCTTAAAGATTTATTTCAGTGCATGATGTTGTCTTAGTAAAATTTTAAATATGCAAATAATAATCAGTTTATGCTGTGATTATCAGTGATAATTAGAGGGCACCACAAGATTCACAGACAATATCAATTCTCTACGTTTTTGTTGTCCACACAGTATATTGCAACATGAGTGAGAACTAACTTGTTTACGCCGTGACACCAGGGTCATCTGAAGTGGATTTTAATGTCTTCTTTTAATGTTTTCTGTGGGTTTCTTCGTTCACACCTTACCTGAAAATACAATCAAGTTGTTTATATTTCTGCAGATGTGAGGACACCGAAGAGAGTAAACCTTATGGTTTTAGCAAATAGGGTAAACAAAAACTTCTTAAAATATGTTTTTGTCCTAACCAGCCAACTAATCCCATTAAAAGAGAAAAACCCTTTAATAAGTTTTGTTTGATTGATTTTCTTTTAAATATTATTTGTTACCTTGTTTGCACCACGAAAGTGTGAACGAATCTTTTAAAATAAAAATATCAGGAAAAAAAGGTTGTTGTGCAAGAATTACTGATTTAACCGATACGCTATACACTAGTACTACAGTTGATGGTCCCAGATCTCATCTGCTTCTTGTTTCCATAGTTACAGCTTGGTGTGTGTGTGTGTGTGTGTGTGTGTGTGTGTGTGTGTGTGTGTGTGTGTGTGTGTGTGTGTGTGTGTGGTAGATAATCTGTTGGTGCAAACAAGGTAACAGGGTTTGGAGTCATGCACTTCCTAAAAGCTTCTCCTCATCTCACACACACTCACTGTTGGATTTTAACCTTTGACCCTGCTCGTAGCTTCCCATGCAGTTTTCCCTTGACCTTTTTCCAGAGTCCTTGTTCAAATAACACATAATACATCCTTATATCCACAGCTCTTTGTAGCCATCACTGATTTAGAAACTGTACTTTTTTTTATCACTTTCCCCACATCCAAAAGTGATGTCAGTGATAAGCTCAAAGATTTAAGGATGTATTTTCACAAGTATTTGAACATGACTGAACTATAATGGTGTGTCATGTTAAAACCATCCCTGCAAGATCTTGGCTATGTTTATGACAAGACGACCAGACAATGTCCCAACCTTGTCAATAGTGCTGAGGAGCCACGAGGAGTAACTGTCAAAAAAATGGAGTCTTCTGTTTTGATCTACTCTTTTTTTTTCAGGTGAACAATAACCTGCCTCAGCCCAGTTGTGTTTTTGTAGAATGGTGGGTTTGTGGGAAGTTACAATCTGATGCTTGAGAATAAATGCAGCCTTTTTTTTTGTTTGTCCGTCAGTGGTTTTACTCAGCCATGGAATTGACATAAAGTGATGTTAGTGTTAATGTTCTTCTCAGGAGAGATGTTGTGATTCATCTGTCTCAGTTTTAGCATGTATCTGTAGAAGAGCTCAGGAGTTTGAAAGTACTGTTCAGATGCAGTTCAGGTAGATTTTTGTTGCTTTGTTCTTCATCTCTGAATAATGAGTGTGAAAACTTTTACGTTTACTCGACTTCACTTGTGATTAAGATGAAGGATACAGATATAGACAAACTGAGATTGAGAAGATTGTAGGTGGAGCTTTTGTGTGGAACTTAACAGACCTGAACTGAATTGCTTCATGTTTTTGTTTCCATCTAGCTGTCGACAAAATCACTTACAGAGCTGTGTCAGAAAAAGCATTTTCTAGGACTGATCAAAAGAGAGCAACTAATTAATTGGCTTTCTTGCACTATATTTTATAATTATCACTGTTGTCCGCCACATGAGAAGACGCATGCAACTTCTTGATGCTATATAACATTGGATTGTCAATATTTACAGTCAGTGCCTCTCTAAATGCATCAGTGTTATTTATTCAAAGCACTGGTGCTTTAAAAACAAGAACGACTATATGAGCTTCAACTTTTTATTGTAAATGACTTATAAACATCTTCTACGTTCCTAATGCATTGCTTCGGTGACCACAAATTAAACATGTACTGTAGCCATTATGTGACTCAAATTCTGCCATCATTCATTGATTTGTATCACAACACCATCATGATCTCTGGATGGAGAAGGCGACCATGATATTAAATACAACATATCATGTAACACAGTTCTGACTGGACTCTTTCCAGAGGTGGTGCAATCAAAATCATCCCCCCATCTTCATTCTGACACTTGATTGCCCTCGGCTGTGAGATGAACAGATGAACATGCACACCATCATTTTTCTCACTCTCTCTCTCTGCCGCTGCATTTTTGTGTCCTCACCTCCACTTTATCCCAGCACTCCTAATTGTAATGTTCTTCCATCACCTACTCCACGCACGTCGTACCCCATTTAAACCTCTTCAGAAACATCACATGCTGCTGTATTTTGTCTCTCTTGTATCCACCTTGTTCACATGCTGTGTTTCATAGCTTTGGGTGGTTTAGAGACCTGTGGTTTTTGTTTTATTTCAGTTGTGCTCTTTGGTTTTCTGTTCCTCTCTGTTCATGTAATTTGCATAACTTTGTTTTTCGGTGATTGTTTTGAGGATGGCCATGGTTCCCTGACTCTCTTGGTTATTGGATACTGTAAGTTACTTAAATCACGCTAAAACAAAACAGAATATGTTGTATTCCTTTATGAGCCAATACATATAGACACATACATATAAGGCAGCATATACAAAAGTAAATTCATGATTAGCACTTTGCAGTTCTTTAAGCCCATGTCATTTCAAGATATATTTTAAAAGCAACCACAAAAGTCAAGGGACATGTGTCCTCCTTTTATTGTTCTTTTTGTTTGTGTGTTTGTTTTTGGTTTTTTTGTGCAGTGTTTGATATGTGAATAGTTTGCGCATTTCTCTCTCATGTAGCCCAGTGGTCAGACCTGCCAGCGCTGAGGCCTACTCTGCTGTCTTTGTCATGCTGCAGCAACACCAGCACACACACACACTTAAATATACACTGTATTTGCAAACACGTTCTCCTCACTGTCACACTCACACAGTCCCGCCTGTGCACACACCTGAGACTTCTCACAGACAGCAGAGTCGGTTGAAGTCTGGTTGGAAGACTGCGTTTCATGGAGTGATGCTAACATTCTCTCCCATTGCTCTCTCTCTGCTCACCTTGCATGCTCCGCCCTGCTGCTCTGATCTGATTGGTCTAGAACTGACTGTGCGCCCAGGAGGGCAGGACGACTGTGTAAGTGCGCATGGAGCTCATCTCATATCCGTCGGCTCCCTTGTAGTCTGATCATTTTTTCCAGCCTGTGCTCTGCCTACCTTTGTTTCATTACACGCCTTAGTTCAAAGCTCACCCCTGTCAAACATTTCAAACACAGTAGAGGGAAATCCTGCGCCAACACCTGAACATGAGACACTTACTAACATGCATGAATAAAACAGACATCATATCACCAACTCTTTAGGCCTCCCCTTTATGTGTCTCCCTGCCTGCACCAAGCTTATCAAAACTCAAAAAATGTTAACCTAAACCTCTTATACATCATGCTTCTCCTTTCTGACCATCCTTTCCTCCATAGTATATAGAAGTAGTATCCATAGTACTCTCAGACTCACTTCTATTGTTTTTCAAAGAGGGTTAGAAACAATAGATAAACTAGCATTTGTTGAGTCAGAGAGCAGAGTGGCTGTTGATGCAGTATGAGATTCTCTAAATGTAGACCCATGTATTGAAGTGATTGTCAGCTGCACGTCCAAGGTAAATACGCAATTTAGTAATTGAATTAAGCTTTGGAAAACATTAAGCCCTGTGTGCCTCCACATGTCCTTTAGCAGCAGCAGTTGAAAGAAATGATGAATGTTAGAGCTTAGAGTCGCAACTGTTTTCTTTTCACACTGTAAATCCTCATCATACAAGGGCACATTTCTCATAAATAATGTGCAATGCAAAGATGAAAACCAAATATAAAATTCATAGATCTGCTCAGTGTGTGTAAATTTAGGTGAGTGTGTGTGTTTTTTATGTGCATGTTTTACTGTATTTGTATCACAAAAATGTGAATTTACAATAATTCATAGAAATCATGTCAGGCAGGCTACAGTGTTCCGTAACAGGCAGTAGATTCCATTGAATTCATTACAGGAAACAGATTGAGGATCATGAAATACAATTTTATTCTCAAATGTCATTTATTTTCATGTACAGTTCACTTGAAATCATGATGCGTGTCCAAAGTGATTTTTCAGGACTGAGGAGTAAAAAGATTTTTATCCTGAGCTGGAAATATTCTCATAATGTTACTACCAGCTAATGTATCTTCCTGCTTTGATGTCGCTTTGATGTGAAACTAGCTTGGTCTTTCTAACAGTCAGCAACCTTTAGCCTACAATAACTGATGCGCATTGTCATAGCTAAAGCTCTCTCCTTTTCTTATACCCTATTTTCATTACTTTCATCTCCGAGGTGTTCCTGAATCTCTTTCTCTGTCTCCCGCCAGACTTTTCAGCAGCTTAGGTGAGCTCCACACCATTTCTCAAAGAAGTTATGGCACCACATTCACCATCCGCCCCGGCAGCCGTTACCCCGTCACCCGACGCACCCCCAGCCCAGGTTCAGGCTCGCCAGATCGGGGCGACCCTCTTGGAAGATTTTCAGGCTATGGCCTGCCCCCCTCGCCAACAACACCACCGCAAACCATCCTCAAATCCTCCAGCCTCAGCCTGCCCCAGGAGCCTAAAGAAGTACGCTTTGTCATGAGGAGCTCCAGCGCCCGTTCCCGCTCTCGCTCCCCTTCCCCGTCACCCTCCCATTCACCAGGGCTGGGGTCACCACTTTTAGCCCTGCGGCCCTTCCACCAAAAACCCCTCCACCTCTGGAACAAGTACGACGTCGGAGACTGGCTGGAGAGCATCAACCTGGGTGAGCACAGAGCAGGGTTTCAGGAACATGAGATCGAAGGTTCTCACCTTCCAGCTCTGACTAAGGATGACTTTGCAGAACTGGGAGTGACACGAGTTGGACATCGCATGAACATTGAAAGAGCACTTAAACAGCTGCTGGAGAGCTGACCCCTGCCTGGGGATAGAGCAACAGTTGGAGAGGAAGACTTGTATTAAACTGGGAAGATATAGAGCTGATGAAAAGACAGAAAAGAGAACAGATAATTACCGCTCCTCTTTTACTCTGGCTGCTTTTATTTTCTGCATCACTAATGTTTACTTGTGGTCCTTAGTGACACTTTTCCTTCCCATCCTGCATTAATACCCTGCACCTGGCACTGCACTGAAGACGAGGAGTCAACACTCTACTCGGCCCTTAGTATCTGCCCACCTCCTCGCCCACAGCCAATCAGATCAGACTTAAAAATGGGCTCTGTTGTTTCTTTGCCGAGGAGAATTACACGAGCTCCAATTTAACTTTTGATTTGTGAAAGCTTCAGTTGGTCCCTGACTAACACCCACACTTCTCTGTCACTGATCCCTCCTCTCCTTCTCTACCTCTATCCCACCATCCACCAGGCCTCTGAAAGCCTTCGCAGTTTGAGTAAAGGAGGAGGAGGAAGAGATTTTGTTCCAAACAGAGAGCTCAGTTGCCTTTCAAATAATTTCTACAGAGATCAACAGTGATGAACACAGGACTAAGGATGTAGTGTTGACACAGCTCTGAAGAGGTGTGTCGTCTCTATAACCTGCTGTTGTTTTTAAACCGAAGACTTTCGAGCCCAGAGGTGGAGCTCCACCAAGTAAACCAGTGGAGAAAACCGCCTTGGTACCCAGACTGTGCTATCTATTATATTTGGAGAATGTTTAACCAACACTCGTGGCTTTTTTCATAATCAATTTTTTTGGTTTTTCCAAAGGGAATATTATATATAGGTATTATATAATATGATATAAATGTATCTAACTATAGCTTTCAGAAGAAAAGACAATGTTGCAAAGAGGAAATGTAATAAATTAATCTTCGCCTGTTTTTGGTTTTTAGTATAGAGGGCAGAGAGAAATCTTTAAATTTATTCCACCAATAGTTTATTCATTTCTACTAATTATATACATATATATAAATATATATATTTGAAAGAAAAAAAGTATATAGATATGGAAATACATTTTTTTGTCATAGGTATACAATTTTCCTTATGGTCACCCTATCTTGAACCGTAGCATGACGAGTTGCATCATGGTCTTGATCAGAGAGTTTGTCGTTTGTTTTTCTTTTTCTTACAGTCTTCCTTCATACTAAAGGGCATCCCGTAATGTGAGGCTGAGACCGCAGGTGACACCCATCCCCACAGTCTCTTCAGCTACAGATCTCATCAGCGTCAACTGATGAGACAGGGAGTTTAAAAAGGGGGGGGGGGGCTCTTTATCTTATGCCTGTTAATCACTCAGGGATGGAAGTTGGGTCACTAGCATGAAGGTTGTTGCCTGTTTTAAAACCATTATTTCAAATTCTTACCTTTAAGGACATTTTAACACCACTACAGTCTGATGTAGTTAGAAAGTTATAAGGCTAGTAAAAAAAAAAATTCCATCCCTGCAACCCCTGGGGATGCTCCTCAGACGGGGCTGCACAAGGTCTGAAATCAGGTCAGGAAAAAGAAACACTGGGTTTTTCTCATCATCTGCAGAGAGGAAATGGCCGTGAACGTACTGTATGGCAAATATCTTTTTAATATTTCATTTTCCTAGATAAGGAAACCAGTTAAGTGTCTCACCCTGACAAAATTCAGCTTAAATGTATTATTTTCCTTCAAATCTAACCAACAAAAACTTGCCACACAAGGGCTCAAATGACCTGGACGTACAGAATATGTCTTTCTGAAATGAGATGACAGGAAATGTGTCTGTAGCTCATCAGGCCCTGGGGATGGGAACACTTCTGTAAGGTCTTAAAGAAAATTCAGTATTTTTACAACCTGGCAGTGTCTTGCTACTTCGCTGCTTCTCTGTATCTCTGCAATTTACTAAGTGAGTAAAATATTATCATTAACAGCAGCAGCCAGAACTTTTAACATAAGACCCAGGTTGTAAATTTAAAAAAGGAAGGAACAAAAAAACTGAATTTTTCTTTAACAATATAAAATCTATAATTGTACTCATGAGTAGCTTCTGCTGGCAGTGAGAAACAGTGAGTTTTATTCACGACAACAACAAAAGCATTTTCTCTATTACCACAAAACCTCCATACATCAGCAGGACGCCACGGCACTTCTACTTGGCGATGAGATGTGTACATTTTTCTTTTCTCTTTTTTTTTTTTTTTTTGTGCGAACAGTTTGTAAAAGCAGGTGGTGAATATAACGTGGTATCTGGGTTGTAGGAATAGCACTCACTGCCTCACTGTGACCTCACTGATTATTTTACTTCTGACTCGTGTTTCGTCCTCAAACTCATTTGGACTTTTTTGTTAAGGGTTCTTTGATTTTTTTTTGTGTGTTGATTTGTTACCCTCAGACACTGGGGGTAAATTTTGTAGCGTGTGAAACATGATACTTAAATTTCTTCACTCATTTGAATTTTAGAGTGACAGAAAAAAACACTGATATCCTGTCCATTCTAAACATACTTACACTTGTAAAAATGAACAAACTACAAATGTTTCTTCTTTTTTTAAAAAAAGATCACAAGCAATGTATATATGATAGATTTCATATAAATTTTTGAAAAACAAAAAGTATATAGATCTATATATGAATGTTTGGCATATATGCATAGTTAACCACCTGTGGAAAAGGTGAGCAGATTTTATTCTTTCTATGAACTCTTGAACTTTTGAACTCTGAACTATGAACTAGGGGATGATTTGCACAAAACAAGGTGACAAGGTGCTAACATAAAAGCCACCCATCGTTCAAGCGCATGCGTGCATCTGGATTCCCTGAATCTGTTTGTGTGTTTGTGGTCGCTCCTCCTCAGCGTGTTTACAGCTGTGTGTATGTGTGCAAATGCATGTTCCCATTTTGTGTGTATTTGTGTGTGTGAGAGACGATGAGGATACACACATGACAGTGAGAGAGTGTGTGGTTGATCACTGAAGTTAGTCCACTATAGCCTTACTGTGATATGATCAGAGATTCCTGGCAGTGGCTGTGTCACACAAACACACACAGACAATAGGTACACACACATACAGAAAAATGCACACATTCATCTTCGCCTCCAGACTGAACATAATTGTTTTCTTGTTTTGTTCTGAGCGGCATCTTCAAACATGGACTGTCCTGCCCCAGAGGAAGGGAGAGGCAGAAAGAAAGGGAGAGGCAGAAAGAAAGGGAGCGCGATCACCCCGGGGAAACTGACTGAAACCATTGTTAACATTTTCTACTGTAACTCACCTTGTGTGTGTAGCTGAAGCCTACGCGCAGTCACTGTTTTGTACACCCATTCCCAGATGGCATTTGCGCTCCTTACCCTCCACTCTGGCTGGCAGCACTCCTTTTTCCTTTTTCAGACATTGGGTTTCTGAGTTTTTTGGGGATACACTATATGAGGTGATCCAGTGAGGAGGAAACGACACAAAGAAAAAAAATGTGCCAAAAAATGAACTTTTAACTGTATATTTGTCTTTGCTTTAGGACTATCTTAGTTACAGCATTCTTGAGCTGTTAGACTCAATAATATGGTGCCATCTCCTGGAAATCTTGAGAACTACAGACATTTGTGAGATCCTTCAGTATTTCCTGCAGGTGGAAATACAGTCATTGTTATTCTTTTGTGAAGAGGCAGGATATATATGTATATGATGTACTTATATATACACATATATCCTGTGTATATCTACCTGTGAGCTTTGCATCAACATCGTTTCTATTTAAATTTTGAGACAAAGTATCACAACGGCTTGATTTTACTGTGATGATGAAGGTTATTATCCGGCTTGGCTTACTGTTCCCCTATAAATACAAACAACAGATGAAGTGTGCAGGCTGGACTCACACGGGCTGATGTGCTGAGGAGAAACAAAGCTGTAGTGAATACCTGGTTGGGTTGTTGTGTAAGTTTACCAAATTTACAGATGCAAAATGATCAGCGTGTAACAGACGTACACATCATTAGGTCAAATAAGTTCAGCGAGGGGTTTATCTTTGTCTTATTTTCTAATCAACAAAGCACAATCTACATAGTGTAGGGGGAGCAGTTTTTAAAAACCCACTGGGCTCCGGTCTCTCACCGGAACCAGTGATCTTATCATGAAAGGGGTTTTTTCTTTCATTGTTGGTTTTCTCCTTGTTTGCACTGTGAAGTTTAGAATGGTGGATGTATCGCTGCAACACCTCAGCCTTGTCTCACAGGTGTAACGTCCCCTTCTCGGCATCTGATGAGCAGGAAAATCATCAAACTATTCTCCCAGCGAGTGAAGCATACAGCATTACTAATACAATTTTAATAAAAAACCAAGTTGAACCACAAGCACGCAAGAAGCTACCTAGTAATACTCTGAGAAAGGGTGACAGTGAAGTCTGAGGCAAGATCTGAGATGTTGCCCAGGATATCTCCACCACAGAGATATATGTTTGTTATATTATGTAATAAATTTATAATTAAAACATGACCTGTGTCTAATTCTCATTCCTGCTAATTAGTGTTTCAGTATTCAAACTATGTTCCAGTGTGATTTATTGTAAATTTCACACAATACAGTCAAATACAAACAGAAAATATACATCCAGGGTTTCTGTGTACATCGTAAACAAATAGAAATAACTGAATCATGTGTTTCACCTTTCAAATAGATGTTTCTGCCAGAAAACAGGTTTAAAACATCGTCATAGCAACGGGCCTGTAAAAATGAAAGAATGTGCAGACACATCACAAAAGACTCAAAATTACACAAGGTTGCCAAAAGACTGCTCGACCAATTGTGAGTCAGTCTCAGCAGTCGATCATCACATTTCATCCCATTTTGAAACCCAGGTTAGGACCTGAAATGACAGATACCACCTTGAGAAAAAGTGATTTGATTTTCGTCTCTGATGACGTCTCTGATGTCCAATCCGCTAACATGGAGGAGGCCGAATTTATGACTTATACACCAGCCAGCCACCAGGGGGAGATCGATATGCTTTGGCTTCACTTCTGTGGAGCTGTAGATGATGTCCATCTTTATAAACAGCCTTCTTTCACATTGAATGACTGACATCCACTAAAATGCTTCACGCTCCTGGATCTAACAACCGGTTTGAAATAGAACCGTGATCATTTTTTTACTTGATACAATCAAAAACATTTAAATGACTGAAAAACCGACTTAAGTAATAGAATGAAAGCAACAGACGCAGCCGACAGACACTGCACACAATACTACAAACAAACACGGAGAACAGCAGCAAATTCCTAATCACACGTTCTCTTTGCTCTGTGCAAGTTTTCCGATGCTTCACATTACACGACATGAAGTAATTGGTTTTCACGCTGAGAGAAACATTAAGCTTCACTGTGGGTTTTTCTCCTGTTACAAGAGTAGATGTTGTTTAAAAGTGACGATGTTAAAAGTAGAGGCTAAATGAACCTGCTAACCAACACGAATCCTGATCATTCCACCAGCTGTATTTCCTGTCACCTGACAGATGGAGGACAGTGACTTCAAACCCGATGTCAGCCACGCTCCAGTGGTAGCAACAATTCTTTAGTAATAAAAGCAGACCACTAAAATTACGTCAAGACCACCACAGAGAATCAGAGATTTCGGACATTTTCACAAAAATCATGGTCTATTCGCAGCATCAACTCCAGAGGAGGAGAAATAATCCATGAGATGAAGATGGAAGGAATTGTTAAAAAAAAATTAAATTAAAAAATCAGACCAACTCAGGACTCTCTGCTTCTAATCCATCTTCATCGGCTTCTGAATTCTCTTCTTTCTTCTCCAGGTCAAAGTTCTTTAAGATGAAGGAGAGAAAACAACATAAATACATATTTTGGATCAATAACACACACAACACACCCAGCAACAAAGAAAGCAGATTGTTGTTGTATTTATGAACAGAAAAGTCAATAATAAAGTGAATTGTGTCGAGTTTAAAGAAGCAGGTTTTGAGGAAGAATATGAAAACATTCTAAAGACAAAGGAACGATGGCAGATATTGAGGGAATTACATAAAACATTTTCATTTTTCAAACATGATTTAAAACTGTTTCAGTATCAGAGACGTGTACCTCTAACTCTTGCATCACTTCATCCATGAAGTCGCTGGGGTTTTGCTTGTATTCCACCGCTCTCTTGATCGTCTCTCTGAACATCTGTTGTGACAGAAAAAGACCCCC